CCCACCTCAGCCCCAGGTCCCTTACGGGAAGAGACTGTCATGGAGCACGCCTCCTTCCGGGACATGTATTTTAAGAGATAGATTTTTCTTTGTTGATGCCCAAATGTTAGCAGTGATTATCTCCAAGCGGCAGGACCTTCTGTCTTTTTTTTTTTTTTTTTTTTTTTTTTTAATCTATCTGTATCTTCCAGTTTCCCGGTAATAAATGAGCTTAGCGTGTGGGAAAACTGGTTTGGGGCGTGCGTGGGTGTGCGTGCCCAACCCTTGAAAGGCACTGACTGCTCTTTGAGCCAAGAATAAAATGGAAACAAGCAGTGAAGGCCGGTGCTTGGCAGGTGAAGATGATGGCCCCCAGGAGAGCAGCCACTGCCCCTGAAGCCCTTGAAGAGGAGGCCCAGGGACGCTCCCCCCTCACCTCCACTGAGAGGCTGCAGCCTCTTCTGAAAAACAAACTCAGGGATGTGCTGCCCTCAGCCCTTCCCTCCGCCTTAGAGGCTCCTATCTGATGGGGAGGCTGCAAACCTTTCCTGTCAGTCACCATCCTCCTACGCAACCACGTAAACAGGTGCTCCGAGAGAGCTCTGAAAAGCCGAAGGTGGCCAGTGCCAGTGTGGCTCAGTGATTGAGCATTGACCCAGGAACCAGGAGGTCATGGCTAGCTGGGCCAAAAGAAAGAAGCAGAAAGCTGGTCTGTGTGTCTGCCCTCCTCTATCTCATGGTGCACGGGGACTGGACTCCTACTCTTCCAGCTGCCACTCCAGAGTTGGAGTCCAGATGTTGACCTATTTTTGAGAAATGGCAGCATCTGCTCTCTCTCCCACTCAGCCCCTTTCCCATGCCACAATCAGATGGAGTTAATAGCAGCTGTGCCTTCTCTGGGCCGGGCACTCCGATTTGCCGCAAACAACCCAGGCCACGACTCCCACCTGCCCCGCTTGTGCCACTTACCTGACCTGTCTGGCCATTGAAGCCATTTAAGCTTGCCAGCTGCGATCCAGTTCTGTGCCCCCAGTTTAGAGCCACGGAATCTGAGTTTCAAAGTGGTTAAGCTCCAAGATGGGATGCGTGGCCGGAGGTTACACTCTGGACCCCGACCATGGTTGTGAAGGCTCTGTGGCCGATGAGAACAAAATAGAGTCGCTTGTGTGGGGCTGCCTCGTGTGACCACAGACAATTAAGCTGCACCAACTATCCCACCTCTGGGCTGCACTCTGGTGAACTGCCCTTCTGAGGTTCTCTTTGCTTTTAAGTTTTAAGACTGTCTTTATTTTCAGAGGGCTTTCTTAGCCATTGTTTCTCTACTCCTGGCAGCTATCTGTGCCACAGGGGCCAAACACATACGATTTAGAGTCTGAAGACCTGGATTCACATCTTAAGCCCTGTTACTTATGTGTGATATTGGGCAGGTTACTTCACCCGCCGAGCCTCAGTTTCCCCACTCTGAAACAGGGGCAGTCGTTCCCATCTTAAGAGACAGCTTACCACAACAGTGCAGGAGTGTCCTGAGGCATCATGTGGAGGCTGCCTCCTCTCTCTCTCTCTCTCTTTCTCTCTCTCTCTCTCTCTCTCTCTCAAAACGAGACTGTGCTCTGATGCTTTTCAATGGCACTGTGATAAGGGACTAGTCAAGCCCAAAGGGTTCACTCTCCTTTCGCTCCTCGGCAAATGCAGTGCCCTGTTGTGTGTGGGTAGTATCCCCTCTGCTCCCGTTCTCTGCCCGAAGGTGGGATTCCAAGCGTCGGCCCACAGCTCTCTCAGGTCACTGTGGCCAATAGCAGGTTGCTCGTTTACAGCTTGCAGCCACACCTAGGCCGGGGTGACTACCCCTGCGTGACTGAGGTCCCTACAGCCCAAAGGGGGGGGTGATCTGCTCCCAGCTGCTTTCAGAATTCCACAGGGTTAGGAATGTGGCCTTTGCAGCCCAGCTTCCCAGATTTGAAGCTAAGTTACTTCACTTCTCAAAGCTTCCTTTTCTATATGTGCAAAGGAAGGCAGCAATAACGCTGACTTCATAGGGTTGAGCATTAAACATGTTAACACATATAAAGTGCTTAAAATACTGCTTGGCACATATTAGGTTGAACCCTATGAAATTACTGATTTGATGGTGTTTGACCTAAACTATCAGTTGCTTGGTGTGATCTGACCTCATTGTAAGCACCTAGTGTGCCTGCTTAAAGCAGGGCAGACACGTAGTCTCTGGTGACAGCCAGTCACAGCTTCCTTTTACGTTACCTGTAACCCCTTACCTGTGACCCTGAGGGGCAGGCTTTTTCTCACAGATGGAATCTGGAGAGCAAGCAGGCATGCTTTGTACCCAGAGTGGGGCAGATAGGCATTTGCATATGACCTGGTCCCCTTCCTGGGACAGGCACGCAGCCTGGGCAAAGGCTGTCAATCAATTCCTTCTGCTCAGAACAAGAGAACATTGTCACATGAGATCCTGGTCCCCATGCCGGTGGATGGGAGGTTGTGTGAGGGGCTCTCCTGTGTGACAGGATGGGTCAGACCAGCTGGTGCCCACCGGTAAGGCCTGTGTGAGTGCTCAGCAGCCGAGGTTCTCTCTCGGACAGGAGCTGGAGTGGCTGTTGGAGATCAACCGGCTCACGCACCGGCTGCTGTGCAAGCACATGACCCTGGACAGCTTCGACGCCATGTTCCGGGAGGCCAACCACAACGTGTCCGCCCCGTACGGCCGCATCACCCTGCACGTCTTCTGGGAGCTGAACTTTGACTTCCTCCCCAACTACTGCTACAATGGATCCACCAACCGGTAAGGACTCCCTGTCGGAGGGGGTGGGGTGGCTTAGGGTCCAGGGAGCAGCCAGCTGCCTCCTCCAAACTAGGCCCAGCCCAGGGGTCAGCTCGTCCCTGCTGCAGGCATCTCACGGGACCCCTCCTGGGTGCAGGCTCTGTGCTGGAGGCAAGTAGACACCTTCCTTCCTGCTTCTTGGAGCCTTCAGGCTAGATCAAACGATCACACGATCTATGAAACGATGTATCACACGTTTCATAAACGTAAATGTGCTGTGATAAGCAGTGAACATAGAGATGGGAGAAAGCCCACGGAGCCACAAGAAAATAGCACCACCTGATCCAGTCCGGGGAGCCACACAGACCTCAGGAGAGGCCTCCTCCTCTGAGCAGGCATGCCTGAGTCGGCATAAATAGAATAAAAAGGCAGAAGAGTATTACAGGCAAAGTTTCTAAGGAGCCAGGAAGCTGGTAAGGGTGGAGCAGGTGGGACAGAGAATGGTACCATGAAAGATGCGGCAGGATGCAGGAGGAAGCAAAACCAGACTGGACTGCTCCGCAGACCACATGAGGATCGAGCATTTATCAACCTTGAAGGAAGGGGAGTGACATGATCAGATGGCACTTTTGTGAGGACACCCACATATGGGAATGCATGTGTGCAAACAGGCATACGTGTGCAGAGCACACACATGCATGGCAATGCGGAGCATGTCTCCTGCAGGTGCAGTCAGCCCTGGGCCAGGCACCATGGTAGAAACAAGACCTAATCCCATATCCCCCCAGAGGTTCAAAACCTGGGGGAAGAGGAGAGAGATGTTCACTGCAAAAATCAGTACATAGGATGAGCAGCGCTGTGTGCAGGTCCTCTCTGTATCCTTGGGACCGGCATTCAGTGAGCATGTGCTGAGCGAATGGGAGGTCTGGGAGGAATCCACAGATGCTCCTAAACCCATGCCCTTAGCAAGACGCACTTCCTGTCCTCTGAAGATTTGGGACCTTTAATCTTCTTGAGCAGAAGTCTGCAAACCCTGGCCCACAAGCCACATCCAGTTCCCCGCTGTTTTTATGCAGCCCATGAGCTAAGAATGGGATTGATGTTTTTAAATGGTGAGGGAGAGAGGGAATCCAAAGAAGACTCATCATGTGTTGGCAAGTGGAAAGTATTTGAAATTCATAGGAACTCAGCCACGCTCATTCATTTACTCTTGTTTTCATGCGACCGGCAGAGCTGGTTTATTTGCAGCAGAGACCATCTGGCTGGCGAAGCTGAAAATATTTGCTGTCTGGGCCTTTACAGAAAGGGCTTGCAGAACCCCGCCCTGGGGAAACCAACTTGGGGGTGGGGAGGTGGAGATATGGGGCCTGGAGCAGGCCATTCTCAGGCCCAGCCCCCTGTCCTGAGCAGCCACTACCCCCACATCAGGCCTGTGGTCTGGACTGCAGCTTTCCCATCTTTGAAGAGGAGGCAGGGGCTGGATGGGAGTATGTCAGGGGCACCCGCCTAGGAAGCGGTGTGGTTGCACCTGGTCAGGAAGGGCTCCTACTACCTCACGTCCCCTGAAGACTATCAGGACTCGGTTAACTCCTGCCCCATCTTTCTTCTCCTAGTTTTGTCCGAACTGCCATTCCTTTCACCCAAGAACCGCAAAGAGATAAACCCGCCAACGTCCAGCCTTATTACCTCTATGGGTCCAAGGTGAGTCGTCTTGCTCATGTCCTACCTCTAAGGGGGCTAGTGAGCAAAAGCAAACAGAAACGTGTTCCCCGAAAGAGAAAAGCAAGGAGTGGAGAAAAAGAGACAGCAGTGAGTCCAGGCGGAAACGACTGTGAGTTTATTCATCTTTATTTGTTCACAACTAGTATCTGTATTTGTTCACAACTCGCAAGGATGGGGGTGAATTCCAGCCAGGCGCTGGATCCCGCACAGGAAGGTCTGGGGGAGGGGAGCGGGGCAGTGCATGCATGGGGTTTCTCTTCTTGGCGTTTCCCCTCGCCTCCTGTTTCTCGGCTGATTCGAGGCGGCATCATCCTGGGATTCTGGGGTTTGTGTTCTATAGTTATAGGGCGTTCGCATGCAGGAAGCAGTAGGGAAGGGGAAGCTTTGACTGGGGCTAGAACTGAGCAGCTTTGTTCACAAGCACCCATCCTGGCGCTAACTACACATTCCCAGTGGTGCCAGTGATAGACCTTCTGTCCACGATGCATTGGACAGACATTTATTCAACACTCACAATAGCCCAGACACAGGGCTCAGTTTTACATGCTGGGGGTGTCATAGAGATTGAAGCAGACGTCACCACTGCCCTCTTCAAGTTCCAGTTCCACCTCCTGGTGAAGGCAGGGAGCACCGTGCACGGTCTCTCCGTCATGAAGGAGATTCACTTCTTCCCCGGGGGGCTGAGGGAGGACTGAAGGATGCCACCGAAGTGGTGAGGTGTGTCAACAACAAAAAAGCCAACATTTCTCTTAGGGGTGCAACAAAATGGCCACCTTTAACCCCATTTCCCGATGAACTTAGAAGAGGAACCGACTGGATAAATGTTGGGAAAGGTGGCCCTCTGGCCGGGGAGCCCTAGGTTAGGAAGGGAGGTGAACCCAGATGCGCTCGCGCCAGCCGGGCCTAGAGGTGGTGCTGGGAGGTGTCTTTTCCGGAGCAGCCAGTCTGGTCCAGGCAACATTCTCATCGTGACGTTGAGAGAGCATTTTCGATGGTTCACAGTCACGGCTTTAAATCCCAGTGATTCACAAAGTAAGAAAACCTCCCTTTCCCACTTCTCTGGTAAACCTCATTGCTTATATCAAGGAGATAGGTCTTTAGTCCTTCAATGCTTGCTAATCTCCCTTTTTTATCAAAGAATAGAAAGCATGCTTTAAACTTGGAGTCTTTCATAGGCAGTAGTATCTAGGCCAAATGTATTATTTTGTTTTCGTCCTATTGATCCTTCTGTCTCTTCTCTTTATGGTGGGAGGGTGCCGGTATTCCTGTTTGAATTCATGTACAGCTTCGTTTTAAAATAAGTTTACGTTTTAAAATATGAGTCCATTTAAAACTATTTGCTAAGAATAGTAAAGATGGTAACTGGCTTAAAAACACACACACACACACACACACACACACAAAACAATGTCCGAGGTGGAATGGAATTGCCTGAAAGTTAGAAAACAAGCTGGGGCGAGCCTTCGTCCACTTTTTCAAAACAGCCCCCCACAAAGCAGAGGCTGGACTTCGGCCTGAAGCTGACTGGCAGCAGAGCTCAGCGAGCCCGCCTTCACCTCCACAGCTCCCCTGAAGTCCTGTGTTTTAGTCAAGTCATGCAAATTTCACTTTCTGCATCCTCAGGAGGGCTTCACGTGTGTTTTCACGTTAAGATAAGTGTTTGTATTTCTAACTCTCCCGGAGCACAGCATGGGGGTGAGTCCTCCGGCTTGAGGAGTGTGTCGCCGAGCCAGGGGGTCCACAAGAACACTGAATTTGCGAGGAGACATGGGAAGTCTACTATGGACACATTTTTACAAAGGAACTACCGTGTGGAGGGCTTGATGCCACAGATTGGGGGCTGCCTCCCCCCCTCCTCTCACTCCTCAAGATGAGGCAGGATGCCAGGTTGGCCACCACCCTCCTTCTGGGGGGCACCTTCATCGGGGGCATCCGAGTCGTCAGCGTTGGCTTCATCTTCACCTGTGTCTGCATCCGTGTCTGCATCCGTGTCTGCATCCGTGTCTGCATCTGTGTCTGTGTCTGTGTCTGCGTCTGCGTCATCTGGGTCGTCTGTGTCTGGGACTGCGGCTGGGGCTGCGGCTGGGGCTGCGGCTGCGGCTTCGGCCTCGGGTTCCACTCCAGCACCTGAATCTCTGCGTGGCCTTTCCATGAGGGGGAGCCCCTGCTGGTCTTCCTCGTCCTGATCAGGAGCCTGGCCGTCCTGTGGCCATCGCACCAACCCATTGGCTTCCACTGCGTGGGGCCCTCTGTAAGACCAACGGGGCACATGGCAGTGGACGCACAGGTACTGGAGGCCGACGAAAGCAAGGACGGCTGTGAAGCCGGCCAGCAGAATGGCCAGGATGACCCACAGGGACATGTGGGGGTTTACCAGGTAGCCTCTGGGAATCAGCGGGTTCTGATCCGGGGTGTAGAACATTTTGCAGTAAGGATTCTGGTGGTAGGTGATCCTCTTGCAGCTGACGCAGAGGTAGTAGAAAGTGGAAGGGGCGAGGTGCTCGAGGGCCACCCTGGTGACGGTTTTAGGCACCTTCTCCTCATAGTGGAAGCTGTTGCGAATGTAGCCGGCGAAGATGTTGTTGTTCCAGTTGGCCTTGTACATCACATGGTAATGGTCCTCCTGGCAGGGCTCGTTGGCAGTCCAGGAAACGATGGCTCCCGAGGAAGAAAGATTCCTCACCTCGATGTTCATCCCGATCCTGCAGCCAGGATCAGAGTGAAGAGTGACTTCCCCCGAATTATTGATTTGTGATCATCCTAGCCACTCTTTAGGGAGCATTCGAGATGGGGACTAATGTTACCCCCATTTTACAGACCAAAAATGGAGGCCACGTTACTCAGCTAGGCACAGCTAAACAACCGCGCGACAGACGTCCCACCCGGGCGCTCTCGTGCCAAAGCTGGTGGCCTTCAGACCAGAAAAAAAAAAGGAGCCCACATTCCCCAGTCCCATCCTGCCCTGGTTCAGGTTTCCAAGCCTTAAAAACAGGAAGAACAAAGGCAACAGAAGGAGGAACCAGGACCCTCTCATAGTCCCTGCGTGAGTCACCACAGGTCTGATACCTGCACGCCAGGCATATGCTTCACCTAGATTCCCCTTCCCGACCTCTTGCGTCTTCTCTGAGTGCTGGTAGCCCCGCCATCTGGAACATTTTGCCTCCCAGCTCTGTTGCCCACAGCGGCAGATTTGTTTTGTCACTCATTGGCGGCTCATTTCTCCCCAAAGCCTCTGCTCTTTGTGTTTGTTTTTTCAAAGCCAAAGGTTCCCAGGAAATCGTTTCATAGATCCATACAATCAGCTCCTACTACCAGCACGGCTGCTACACTTGATTACTACCGGGACCGGGAATGTTAATAATAGCGATAACCACCAGTTAGCAAGCCATTGCCCTCTCTCAGCTCCTGCTAGCTGTTCAACCTACGGTAACAAATCCTCTTTATTCGTCATCACGCCCTCTGAGCTCCATTTCCGTTTTATGGATGAGCAATCCGAGGTGACACAGCTCATAGGAACCAGCCTCAAAGCCACGTAACCGCTGGATTCTCAGAGCAAGGCCGCTGGGTTTAGTAATAGAATGTCACTGCGACAGGAGACGCTGACACTAGGACCCACTGCTGTTTTTCCAGACAAATCCAACGAGCCCCCTGATTGCCAGCCTCCTGGCTTTGGGAAGGGGGCGCCATCCTCAAGCCTTTTCATTCTGCGTATTTCCCCCTCCCTGAATCTCCCCTCCTCTAAAACCCAGGGGCAGCCATATTCAACCTGCCATATTCAACCTGCGTATGTTGACAGGTCTCCCCCTGCTCTGTCCTCTGCTCCTCCTCTCCCGTGAAATACCGAAGGTTTTGTTTTAGATTGCAGTGTCGCCGTCAAAAAATCCGATTTTAATCAGGATTGGAAATTAAGCCAGACTTCTACGAGGAGCTGCTCTCCCTCCTCCCTGCCTTCCTCCCCCCTTCCACCCCAACTTCTGTTTTCCTAGAGGGGTGAGCTGCAGAAAGACGCATTGTGTCTAGTGCTTTCGCAGTTCATGTTTTCCTTGTCTAAGGATGACAGTGAACGTTAGGGAGTCGCTCTTTCCTAGGTGGCTGGAAATTTCCTCCCAGGAAAACGGGTCATGAAAGAGACGAGACAGGTGTGTGTGCTCGGATCCCTCCAGGGGAGGTCATTGCAAAGGAGACTGACTGTACGCTTCCTTCATGCACACCTACCCACGCCACCCAGCACCCCACACATCCCTATAAATACCCCTCCACCACAGTGAAAGAGCTTAATTCATGACTAAGGACTCAGAGGCAACGGCCCTCGTAAAACCCTTCCTGCAGGGGTGATTAGCAATCGGTTTCTTGTTGTGAATCCTCTCTCCTGTTTCCTCCCCTCCGCGGCTGGCTGTCTTTGCAGACTGAGTTCCCCCACAGCAGACATTTTTAAGAGCTTTCTGTCAAGATGCTAGCAGCATCCTCAGCTTTTAGAACCAAATATGTCTCGCTTATTATTTATTTTCCTTTCTCTGCTTCTGTTTGGAAACATTCCCCCCACCCCAACCCCCCACCCCTGTGCATAGCTAGTATATTACCATGGCCTGGCCCTCCTCCAAGAAGAGTGGGAAGGGAAAAGTCATTTCCATTCCCAAGAAGAGCCGTTTTCCCTCTTACCTGATGCTTGTGAGCTGAGGATCTGGTTAGAAGCGTAGCCTTCAGAGGCAGAAAGGACCCGAGCTAAGGGAATGGTGTGCCTTTCCCCCTCTGCTCTGGGCTCTGCTTGATGTCTCTCTCACCACTGAGTAATCCCACTGCCGCCCCCAACGCTCACTCTATTCATTTCTTCAGATCAGCATCATTCACCATGGCAACCAGCAGGCATAAGTACGCAGGATGCTTTCGTGACCAGTCTGGAAAGGCTTTTGCCCAATGAGAGGTGCTCTTGTTTATTTGGGGGGGGGGGGGGGGGGCGGGGGAGAGAAAGGCAAAAAAATCTGATCCTCAGAGTGGTGCTAATTTTTCCAAGGCTCCTAAATTTTCTAATTAGCTCTGGATTGTTTTTGTTTTTTTAATTTGGTTGGGTTTGTGTGTTTTTTTCCACATCTAGATTACTCTTTGAACAATGGTTTCGAATGCAAAGAAGCCCTTCTCTATTATCCCACAACTAAAACAGTATTTCATCTCCATCCTACCCCACTCCACTCCCACCCCTACATCCTATCCCACCTCCCCAGTCTCTTCTTTTTTCTGGTCTCTTGTGGCATCACCTAGGCTAGGGGTGTCGAACTCAATCAGAGAAGGGGCCAAAATCTAAAATCCAGCCTAAATCGCGGGCCGAATGGTTTACTGAACAGTCATAAACTGTCATTGTGATGGAAACGCAGCAGAGTGCAGTGATGACAGCGCGGTGCGGGCCACATTGCAAGGCCTGGCGGGACGGATTTGGCCCGCGGGCCTTGTGTTTGACACATGTGCTCTAGGCATATGACACTGGTCAAGAGTCTTATTCTCTGGGCCTCAGTTCTACCATCTGTAAAGCTGTGGGCATGGGCTGCATGGGTGGCAGATAGAAGACATGGGTACTACGCCTGTCCAGTCCTGAACCTGTGTCAGGCTTACTAAGCCATAGCGGTACTTGTCCTGAGCTAGTTTGTATGACCCCGCAAAACTCAGGTCCACACAGAACCTCAGAATGTGACCTTGTTTGGAAATAGGGTCTTTGAGGAATTAATTAGGTAAGGATCTCAAAATAATCTTATACTGGATGTAGAGAGAGTCCTAAATCCAATGACTGGTGTCCTTCGGAGAAAAGGGGGAGGGAGATGTACACACAGAGAGACACCACAGGAAGAAGCTATGTAAAGACAGAGGCAGAGAGTGGAGTGATGCTGCTGTAAACCAGGGAACGCCAGGAGCCTTTGGAGGCAGCGTGGCCCTGCTGACTCCTTGATTTCAGGCTTCTGGCCTTCAGAACTGAGAGAGGTGAGATTTCCATTTGTGGTAATTTGTTACCGCAGCCCCACAGAACTGATACAGCACTCCTCCCACTGGGGCTCAAAAACAGCCCCAGAGTCCATCTTAACACAACCCTTCCCCCATCCCCCCAAGAAACTGCTATCCATCTATCACTTAGAGTTGACACCAGACACTGTTTGCTACTCCTGGGTTAGATGTTCCCCAGCGTTCCTTTCAAGAATCCTGCCTTTGCTTCCTTCCCCTTTCTCATTTCCCTGCCTCTGAGCTTCCATCCCCTTCTTTTCCTCTTTCCCCCTCTACCTTTAAAGAATGCATTGCCACTGTTCTGTTGGAGAGATCAGAGGCCACGGCTGAAATAGAGAATACAGTTCTGTCATCTTAAAGCCACTGAGCCCGAGGTAATCTGTTACAGCACCCCTAGCTCAGATAGATGGAAACCTGAATTATTTACACCAAGTATGTGTTGTTAAAAGTCCGCTTTTTTCTTCTCAGTTTTGGCCAAAGTAGCCAAGTGCACCCCTGAAGGTTTCCTTGTGATTCACGCCTGGTGAGTCACAGTACCACCCCCATCCCCCACCCCCGGGCCAATGGTCTCTGTGAGATGTGGAGTCGGGATGTCCAGCGTCTCTTGGTTAGCTGTGGCCTTGGTTAGCCGTGCTCTGTGGCTTTCCCATGGCTTTGGTCCTCCCAGGGCCTGTCACAATCTGCTGTAATTCTTGCTAACGGTAACTCCCCACAGAGCGCGAAGGCGCCCTCTCCACAGAAGGCCAGTGTGCTAGTCTGCAGGTGCCTTTTTGAAAAGGCTGTTTTCAGGGGAATAAAAATACCAGTTAAGGAGCCTGTGGAGTGATAAGATAGAACTCAAGCCTTTGCCACAGAAAGGGGAATTTCTTTTGAATGCTTCCGGCTGCCATTTTTAACACGGAGCATTTTATTGAGAGGTTGAGAAGCTGAGAATATGAGGCCTTCCAAGTCCTCTGGCTTCATGGATTCTGAGAGAAGGGACGGCATTCTTTGGGCTGTGGCAGAACCTGGGGTGGAAACCCAATCCCTGGCCTGGACTCATCCTGCTCCTTAGATTCCTCTTCTGCTAAATGGGGATGGTTGCACCTGCCTCACCTGGTGTCATAGGCTGGTAATGGCCTCCAGAGATATCAGGTCCTGATCCTGGAACCTGGGAATGTTACTTGATTTGGGTAAAAGACTTTGCAGAGGTGATTAAGCGAAGGATCCTATGGTAGGGAGATTATCCTGGATTACTAGGATGAATCCTAAATGCCATCACAAATATCCTTATCAGAGGGAGGTTTGCCCAGCCGGCTCATTGGTTGAGCATTGACCTATGAATCAGGAGGTCAGGGTTTGATTCCCGGTCAGGGCACATGCCCATGTTGTGGGCATGATCCCCAGTGGAGTTGTGCAGGAGGCAGCCAATCAATGATTCACCTCATCATTGATGTTTCTCTCTCTCTCCCTCTCCCTTCCTTTCTGAAATAAAAATACATATTTTTTTAAAAAGAGAGGGAGGTTACACACATACAGAGGAGAAGACCAGATCTCAGCAGAAACTTTGGAAGATCAGAGAGATGCAGGCACAGCCCAAGGAATGCTGGCTGCCACCAGAGCTGGAAGAAGCAAAGAACGAATTCTTCTCTAGAGAGTCTGGAAGAAGTGTGGCCCTGCTGACCTGATTGTGGCCCAGGGATACTGATTTTGGATGATGGATTCTAGAGTTATAAGAGAACAAATTTCCGTCATTGTAAGCCCCCTCTTGCACCACCCCCCCCCCCCAACCCCACCCCAATTTGGTAATTTGCTACTGTAGCCACAGAATGCACCTGGATAGGTGTGAAGAACCTATTAGTTGAAAACATTCATAAACAGAGAAGCATTATATACATATTACATTCAATTATGGGGGGGGGGGAAGTGATGACATTGGATTCCTCTAAAAATTCAGTGTTAGAGGGTTGATACGGTATCTCTGAATAGTAAGGCCTGGTTCCTGCCCTCCCTCTTGCCTTCTCCAAAGGACTGACTTTGTAAGACAAGGAAGAGGAGCATCATTTCTTGAGGCCTCTACAGCACCTGCCTTGACTCTTTCAGCCTCTTAGCTGAGAAGACCAACAAGAAACCTAGATGTTGGAGACCCAGCCCTACAGCTCACTAGACACCAAGAAGGGTTGGACAGACAGACACATCGCAGTTTTCCCCATGCCCTGGCAATGGATTTGAACCTGTAACTCAGAAGTTACCAGTCCTTCGTGCCTCTTCCCTGGTGTTGCTGTTTTCTTCTTTTACCTGCAGGGATTTCATAGTTGAGCTGCAGCTCGCTCTCTGAACCAGATTAGAGAGTTGTGTTTGTGTCGGGGGCTGATAGTATTCAGATTGCTCAAGGAACATTAGAGAAATTATAACTAGAACAGGAAGTTAGAAACAATTTTAATTCCTCTTGGGATCTCGGAAAACAGCAATTGTGATTCCAGAAAGGAGACACAAATTGCTTGCAAATTCAGTTTGCTGAATAAATAGGTCTCATTGTTTGAAGTGGCTGGCCCTGTTTACTATCTGGTGAAAGAGGCCTCTGACTAAAAGCCCATATTCCACACTTTTACATGGCTTAAACGGTAGCTTCTGTATTATGTATGCTTTATCACAATTTTTAAAAGGTCCATGTACAGATAATATAGTGTCCAGAATCTACCAAGTTGAGCTCACCATATTTTCTCCTTAAAATACTGTTTTGCCTTTTTATTTTTTTTTTTAATATATTTTATTGGTTTTTTTACAGAGAGGAAGAGAGAGGGATAGAGAGTTAGAAACATCAATGAGAGAGAATCATCAATCAGCTGCCTCTTACACACCCCCTACTGGGGATGTGCCCGCAACCAAGGTACATGCCCTTGACCAGAATCGAACCTGCAACCTTTCAGTCCGGAGGCCAACGCTCTATCCACTGAGCCAAACCAGTTTTGGTTGTTTTGCCTTTTTAATACATTGCACATCCATGTCACATATTCATAAGATGGCTCTGGTTCCTGAATCAAGATAATTTATCTCTTACGATCTCATAAAATTGTTTTGTGCCATGTGGATGGTGCAGACTTGTTTAGCTTGATATTAAAAAGTGAGCCATCCTGAATCATAATTCATTTCTAAGGTAGACCTTGGGTTGTAACCGGAGTCAGTTAGCAGGACTGGCTCAGTATAAGAGATTTGGAGCCGTTTTCAATGTCTCAAGCCATGTTGCATTCTGTTTTTCTTTGCCAACCTCAGAAAATGCCCAGGCTCCCATATTCCCACATTTTCTCAATAGGGCCCAGCCTTCTGCTGAGCCAGCAGGTCAGAGGGGTGCCCTCCAGGGGTGTGTGTGCATGTGCTTTTCGGCATGTGTGTGTGTGCGTCTTCTTGCATGGACATGGTGTGTATTTTGGGGGTGAGGGGTGCTTGTTCACTTGGATTTAAATTCTGCTCAATTCATGCTGGTCCTTCCTGAGCCGGAGTTATCAGCCGAAGCTTAAACTTCTGGTCTTGACCAAAATATGAGACCGATGTAAGAACAAGAGGCTGCCTGCGTGCATTGAGCAGGCCCTATAAGGGGGATTTTTTAAAACCCTTGTGTGTGGTAAAGCAATTCCAAAATGTTCTCTTCTGTCTCTAACTGGGGAGGGCTGTTGAGCCCTATATATATATATATATATATATATATTTGTGTGTGTGTGTGTGTGTGTGTGTGTGTGTGTGTGTGCTTGCCAGCAAGTGCCAAAGAAGACTTGGTACTGGAAGCTCCTTGGGTGGGGTTAAGAAGACTGCCAGGGAGGATGAGCACATCCAGGAAGACCTCGGTGGAGCTTGCACCTCTAAAGGGAGCGTTAATCCCATCCCTCCCAGTGCTCAGTCCCAGGCAGGTTCCCTTCCA